GTTTGATTTCGAGCAGAACTTTTTCCCAAGTACACGGCTAGAACTTTCGATGACCAGTTTTCAATTAAAAATTACTGTTAGATCACTAGACTTGTGACGGAACATACGAATTGTCGATCGTATCAAAAAGAAGGTGGGTCAGTGTTTTGATAAAATACATTCAAATTAGTGGAGGATGGAGGAATTAAACACCTCAGTTGACTGGTAATTGCTGAATTGTCATATGGAGTTAAATGGAGTTAAGTGTGGATAATTAACACAGCGCACCTTCTCACATCGATAGATGCCCATCATTTTCAAAACATTCAAATTATTCGTGTTCACCTATAAGTGTTTCCGAACATTTTGATGATTAGTTATTGTTGGACTGGAATGTTCAACTGAAAACATATGTAGATTTGTGCATGCGGTCACGTTCAACTGCGATTGTTTTCGAATGCAAACGACTGAATTGGTTTCAGTCGAAGTGTAATCATTTGCCATATTCAGATGAGCACATCACTGTTGCATGACTTCGAACAACAGTATTCGGTGCAAACCGCAGAGATAACCGCTCGAATCGGTCGTCTTTCGAGTCTCGAGAAGCATGAACGACTGAATGGCATTCAGCAAGTGCAACGACTTCTGGTCGACGTTGAAAGTCTTCTTGAACAAATGGAACTTTCCGTTCGAGAAATTGATGCGTCCAGGTATTATTGTTATNATATATTTGTATCAATTTCAGTCCAGAACGTGCTAAATATGAATTACGTGTAGGTAGTTATCGGAATGATAAGAAGCAGTTGGATAGTGAATTGGATAAAGCAATCGGTCGATTGAAGGAGAACGCTGACAGGGATGAGTTGATGGCGTTCGACAATGAGATCTCTCTGGATCAGGTTAGTATCATTATTGCTGTTGTTTTCATGAGTTTTTTTTTAAATCAACAAACACATGTCTTCATTCATTTGTGTATTTCTTCCGGCGAAAAAATGACAAAATCATTTGATCAATTCTAAATTTGTAACGATATTTTTCGATATGGATGAAAATAAAGAAAGCAATGAGTATTCCTTATCAGCATGGAAATTGCAATACGGTTTCTAAATTTCAGCAAGATCACCTAATTGAAAATACTGAACGACTGGAGAGAACATCGCGAAGACTGCACGATACGTACAGAATGGTTGTTGAGACTGAACAGGTTGAGTTGTTTGTTTGTACTTCGATTCTGTTCGAATTGCAATGCAATCCGATAGTAAGAGGAACCTTGCTTGAAGTGA